AGTCAGACTCAGGGGGATCACACTTGTACCTTTCATCTGTGTACATGTAACCTGTATTGTTTAATATTAGATGATCCCCCTTAATGATTTGTTATACATTTTACTATATGTCATTGAATAAAATGACATATTCCACAAAACTGCATATCTGTGTTTGGTTATCGCAGCGCAATTATCATAGAACCTTTCATTGCGAAATTGCACCTTATTTTGCTTGACAGAGTTATCCAATCAAAATCCTTGATTTTGTTGCGCCATTTTTGTTAGCCCGGCAGTGCATTGAAGAAAAAAACCCACCACCCACCCTTTTTGGGGTTTTTGGTTTTATATTATTTTGCATTTTAGTCCAGATTTGTATTTTTCTAACTAACTTGTCATATGTTTCTTGATTGGCGCAATTGTTTGAACGCCCCCAAAGATTTACTCATTTATGCTATATTTTATGCATATTTACATGTACTCTGATATGTTCACTGCATGTAAATTTCTAGCCAGTCTCGGCGCAATTGTTTGGACGCCTCCAAGGATTTACTCATTTATGTTATATTTTATGCATATTTACATGTACTCTGATATGTTCACTGCATGTAAATTTCTAGTCAGTCTCAGGGGGATCACACTTGTACCTTTCACCTGTGTACATGTAACCTGTATTGTTTAATATTAGATGATCCCCCTTAATGATTTGTTATACATTTTACTATATGTCATTGAATAAAATGACATATTCGACAAAACTGCATATCTGTGTTTGGTTGTTTTTCACTGCACTTTCAGGCTGATATTTCTCATAGGAGGCATAAATCCCTTTTTTATTTAACAAATATATAATCAATTGCAATATTTGTCCATGAATTGCCATGTGTATTGCAATATTTTCAATGCTACGCGGTTTTGTTAAAGCAGCACACGGATCAGAATTCGGCGAATTAACACTTTTTTAATAATTTGTAACACTAATAAATCGGAAAAACAGGGAAAAAAAACTTTTGCTATTACCAGGCATTCTACAGATTTCAATGGGTCTTATCCTACAGAAAACACTACACCACGACGTCACTACGTGACGCCTATAATTAGAAATCATGCTTTAATGCAAAAGTGAAAAGTTCAACGTACACTACCCCTGGGATCATTATTTTCAAAATATAATTATAATAGTTATGTAAAAACATCTCTATGTCATGAATAGTGCTGCTAGAATCCTACTGTTCCATAAAAAATATTTAATTTCACTTTCGGAAGAAATCTTGAAAATAAATTATTCATAATTCGAAAAAAAATGCATCAATTATAAAATTTTCCTTTGACTATGCAGCTACATTAACGTTATGAGAGAATCTTGAAATTACGATGGTGGCTGGCCGAAAAAAAATGCCTCAACTTCCAGCAAATCATTTATAATCGAAAATTGTCATCGAAATTTTAAAGCTTAATTCATGTATCTACATTGACTTTTGAACTAAAAATCTATCAAAAATCTGTTATATATATCAAAAATCTGTTATATATAGAATACTTTATTCAATAATGGAATAACGTCATTTATGATAAGACTGTCTGAATGCTTAAATGACTAAAAATATAGGTTTTATTTTGAGCTAGATTTCAATTTCAATTTGTTATCCTTGTTTGAAATTTCATTGCATTTGAGATAATACTTTAATCATGTATTAAAACAAGGTATTTTTTGTGAAGTCACATGACTGTGTTGATAACGTGACAAACATTTATGATATTCTTGAATACAAAAAATCAAATCGGCACAAGTGCAAAACAAAATTATTCTCCAAAGTTTGTTACATAAATCAATTCCTCGTGATCTCTGGTACATCAAAAGTGCAGGGGACAACTTTAGTTTTTACTCTGTAAGAAAATATTTCACGAGAAATTCAACTTACCAATATAAGAATGGGAATTAACACTCTTTATCGCAATTTACACAAAAATGGATATACTATACACAATTCCCCAGCAACATCCAGTTAGAGGACATAACACTCTTTTAGATTTTTTTTTATCACTTGTGCTATGTAAATGTGCAAATGTAAACACGATTCATAAAACCCTTTCGAACATCTTATCACTATAAGATTTGTATCATAATACAAAATCTTATGTAAATACAGATTTTTGCAAACTGTAAACAACTATTTCATAAAACCTATCACTTTTAACCAATTACTAAAAAATCATATAAAAAAGCATATGGTAAGTAATAATGGTCGACTTAACAAGTAAAGACGTTGATACTCTCATGGTTTTATGAAAAGGGGTAGATGACTCCTGGATATGATCAAGCAGTGCATAGTGCGTTGATAGACTGCTATCAGAACCTCATCCTCCATTTTCATTATTTTGACAGAGAGAGAAATATGGCGGGGGAAACACGTTGGAATACGGAGTTTATTTACAATCTTATAAAATATGTATTAGCGTGAGTACAGGAAAGTATTAAAGTACAAAAGTATTATCCTTAACGGGATCGTTTCACGTATACCTTTTCGTTTGTTGTTTCAATGTGGCATATAGGAGAGGCAAAAGAAACAGATGAATCTAAATTTTAAATGTTCAACATCATAATAGCACGTTTGAGCTTATTAAAACAATCTCAACACTTGAATTAAACAACAACCCCCTTCCCTCCCAAGGAAATCTACATGCCATATAAAAATTATTACACTTTCCCTGTCATGACAGCTCAAGTATGCAATGACTCGAAGTCATATTCTAGTATGATGTCATATTTAGGTAGTTCAGAGAAGAAAGTACGGTTTAAATAGTTTGATATTTTATGGGCAGCCTTATCCCTGTCGCGAAAAACTTCGTGGTTTTGTATATTATCATCATTTTGATAAACAAATAAGGCAATGACAAGATTTTGTTAAAGAACTGCGAACGATTGCATTCGATTGTTCTCCCGCGTACCTCCAAGTCAATTTTTAAAAGTTAATATATTCGATGAATTTTTAATATTTTTTTTATAGATAATTATATGGATTTTCATAAAACAATACTTATTTGGGAAAACAAAGAGAAATAATTCTAAAACTTTGGTAAAACTTGTGTTTTTCACTATAGAAATCAATGTTTCACAAAAATTCCTTTTTACAGTTAGAATGGAAGAATTATACCAAAGCTTTTTGTGTGACACGTGACACGGGGGGAGGGGGAACATATGTTTATTGACAAAAAACAATAAAAATGCTTATTTTCCACCAATTTCAAAGCGATATACAAGTGAAACATTATATTTTATTGAAATATTTATGTTTTATTTATTTACCTAAAACATAAGAAAAGATATAAGGAACATTTAATAATATAAGCTATTTCAAAATAGGGAAACCTATCGCCTATATTTTTCTTGAATAATTCAGGGATTTATTATTTATGTCATTTAATCAAAATCACGCGTAAGCGTTATTTAGTAAAAAGAATGCAATTTTTTTTAAGTTTGAGTCCATAATTTTTTCTAAAATGACCGAGATTGACCTGTGAAGCACATTTTCCATATTTTTTTGATACGTTAGCCTAGCAAAGTGCAAATAATTATAATAATTCATGCAAAACAATGATTATATATGGTTTACTAACAAGTTTTTACTCTATTTTGTGTATAAAAGTTGAATATTTAGACTTTAATTCATTTAAATACAACAAAATGTAGGATAGGTAAATTTCAGTATTTTACATTTCGGGGCATGTACTCCAATAGGCAATAGCAGAAAAGTGAAATGTTGACATATAATTTTTTTGTGTATATCATTGCATCATCATCTAATTTATAAAATGATTTTTTATCAAATAAGAACTACCTTAAAAAAAGATTTAATGGCCAAATTGCTATTCATATTGAATTAATTGGTTCCAAAATGTACGGTGTATCGAGAGTTAAATTTTGTCAATAACATATATTTTATTAAAAATTTTAAACCGGTTGGGTCATTATTTTTGGATATATACTCGATCGCCAAATTTAAACCAATCATGCTTTGACGTTTTTTTTTTATCAAACTACATGAAACACAGTGAGAACTATTTAAGTTTTCATATAAGATTTTTAATAGGTGATATGAAAAGAAATAATAAAATGAAAAATTAACAAGCACAAAAATGTATTTGAGCAAGAAAGTTTAAAGATAAAAAAAAACCGTCAAAACTTTGCGTAGATTTCTGTTTTTGAAAAAAAATTAAAGAATCAATCCCCTTGAACTATTAAATATGAAATAATAATGCGGTAGCTAGTATTGTACTTAAAATGGTCAATACTATTTCTGCTGTATGTAAATGCTTGTAAGAAAATATATATCTATTTCAATGTTTTCAATACCGTATAAGTGGAAATTTTAGCGAGATGCAAATTTGACAATCTGTTAATAAAAACTGGTATTTTATTTTTAGCGAGATGTGATTTTAGCGATTTTAAAATGCTCTCTAAAGAACCCATGACGAATAAAACGCCATCATTTTTTTGCGATATTTAATTTTAGCGATCTGATAAGGCTCGCTAAAACAAGTGCTTATACGGTATGTAGCAGGCTTTTATATTTGCAGTGTTGGTCATTAGATTATCACTTGTTGCTCTTTTTTATTATTATTTCAAGGAAAATCCAGTTCTTGACAACGGAAGAGGACATTTTCGCTGTCACACAAAGTTATGAATATACATGACACTTAGATATTTCACATGTATTTTGCAATGAATTCTTTAAACAATGCCTGACGAATAAAACGCCATAAATTTTTTAATTTGATTTGCCTATCTCAAAGCTTTGCTAAAACAACTTTTATTCGCGTGCGAGAAAGGCTTTTATATTTGCAGTGTTGGTCATTAGATTATCACTTGTTGCTCTTTTTTATTATTATTTCAAGGAAAATGTTATTTGTCTACGGATAAACAGCTGTCACACAAAGTTATGAATATACATGACAAAATAATTCACAATTTATCTTGGTAAATTCTTTAAATAAAGCCTTCGCGAATATTTAATTTGATTTTACAGTAAAGGCTTCAATAATATTTCTGTTATCCAGTCATTCTCTTTTCCTGATTCTATCTCTGTCAAAGTTGATCCCAGTCTTTCACAGTCCTCCTAAAATAGAAATATTCAAATGCATTGTTCTATTTGGTGTTAATTACTCTCTTTTTTTATTTTCTTGCTCTCTCTCTCTCTCATTAACATAGTCTGTTTTGTACTTCCAAATGCATCATTTTTTTAAAGAGGAATGTGAAGACATATGCCGAGGATCAAGATAAACCTTCACTTTATCCGTGTTCGTGGGTTTTATATTTAGGTTCACATTAGAAATAATAAATTCATTGTTTGGGGATGGATTTTGAATTTATAGCGAGCGCAGCGAGCTCAATAGACTAACGTGTAAGAACAGAGGAAATTCGGAATGAAATATGAACATGAAACATTCTCAGAATTCCTTTACTACTCAATGTCCTTTGCGCGAATATATAAATAAATAAAAAATTAAAAACTTAAAGCATAAAAGGCTATGAGTTTGTAGAAATCTTTCATCTGAAATAAAATAACCCTGTTATGTTCTTCGACCAAAATATTGCACGAGGTCTAAAGCTTTAACCAGACACAAAAAATGAAAATTTTGCGCTTTTAATAATTCTTGTCAGCTTTAACTGTGGAATATTAAAAATATCCAATGATCAATTACCATGATGTAAAAAGGTAAACATGAGATAAATAAATATAGTTAAATAATCAGAATGTTATATATACAAGGGTTGTCCCAAAAAGTCGTAGGCAATGTTTATAAATTTTTGAACACGTCACCAATTCTAACCTAATTCTAACTTATTTTGCATAGATTTTATACATTCAATGTTTAAAATTGTGAATTCTTAAATATATATCTTTCATATTGATAATATTGGTACGATGCAGGCCGATATGGTCTGTCGGCGCACGAACAAAATTCGTAATACATGTAATGTACGCATATAACTTTGACATTTGCTTTTATTTCTTTGATACTATGTAAAATATTGAACTCAAATTTAAATCAGTGAAATCAAGATTCAAAATTTTTATAACATGTCAGATTTCATATATACATTGCATTAGAATCAGACGATTGATGTCATTATTTTCAGAGTATTATTTGAATGGAGTTTGATTTAAGTGACGTCGTTACTGTGCGCACAGTAATGTAATAAATTGATTTTGGTACTTTTTTCTGCCTGGTTTAATTAACGTTATGTACTCGGTCACACATTTTCTGCGCAATTTTTTTCCCATTAAATTTAATACAAATATAAGGCATATTAGGAGATTCTTTCGATATCCGCGTAATTTTCTACCAGCGGATTGAACAGATACCCTGAATTATGACCGAGTGGAAAAAGTACTTCTGCAGTACATCAGAGACGGGAAAAAGTACAAAAATGACATTTCACATGAGATTTAAACAGAGAACTTGTTTAAGATGACATGAAATTTAATGACAGTGTTTTTTCCATATCGAAAAAATAATCACTACATGTTAGAAGTAGAGTACTGTTTGTTTAACACAGAGAGATATGAACCTTCTGGACTTTGAACGTCGTCAAACAAGATGTATCCTCTGTTGCCTAGATATAAGGTGATCTTTCGACTAAATTTGGACTAAAATTTGAGTCTGCTTTAAAAAAGTTCAGTAGTGTATTTATATAAGTTCCTTGGTCAGGAGTGGTTTTTCACTTTAAAAAATATTCATTTGGATGTCAATAGACGCATGTGAAGCAGAAAAAGAGATCCTATCGTTATGAGAGACGTAAATTACGCTTGCAATTGTACCACGTGCATGACTTGCACGATTTCTTTATTTTTTCATAGCTTTCTTATTCAATGGGGTACCATCATGAAAGTTTAATGCATGATCATGTAAAGTTAAACTTTGCTATGACAAGATAAAAAATTTCATTCAGCATAGAGAAAATAAACTGTTTTTCCTGTCTACAAATTTTTGAGACAACCCTTGTTGTTTTTTTTTTTTTTTTTTGAAACTGAAGATATAAAATGGGAAGTATTACTGAGCGTTGGAACATGGAAAGCACATTTCGCTATTTTAACCGGGACTGTGGTGTTTGTTTGGAAATGTTACAAACGCGTGGCTCTAAAAGTGACTGGACATCGAGAGGATAGGATATTTGTAACATGTCCATTTAGGACCATTTGCTAAAGCTCAGCTGCGCCTTCCAAAAAAAAAAAACACTGTTGCACTACAACACAAACCACCCTCGCGCTATCACAACATCTATCAACACGCTGTCACGTTAACACTTGTTTACATAACACGCTGTCGCGCGAAAACACAACTCTTGACCGTGTGCTGTGTATTTGGGCGACAGCGTGTTGCTTGAAAGAGTGTTAATTGTGTGTTAGCGTGACCGCGTGTTGAGAGAACTTGTGTTAGCGTGAGAGAGTGTTATGTGTTATCGGGACGGCGTGTAATGTAAATATACTGATGCGTGACAGTGTGTTTTGTGGCAGGGGGACTCCATGTTGTGCGAAATTCGTTTGACAGCGTGTTGTTTGTTAGCGTGTTTTTTCTGAACGCGTTGTGATTGCCCTACCTGGACACAATATATCTGTGCCGTATGCTCTTTGTATTATTTTAAATCGCAAACACTGTCCTTTTTTTGGCTTGAGGTTTGTATTTTTTAAAAGAAAATTTATCTTGAATACTTGAGGATTTGATAGCAATATTGATATATTAAAAGAATAATGAGATGCAGATAACCATTTCAGAGTTTTAAATGTTTTATATGAATTCTAGACATACCTTAGCATCATGCCATGTACGTTTTTCGGAGCGAACCATATACAACTTGCCTTCAAAGGGTACCCATACCTCTTGAAACTCTAAAATATATGCGAAAAATTAAAAGCATTACACATGCACAGCACAAGGTTATAAATGAATCCTGCATTGAACATTTTTCTCCACATGTAAAAAATATTTGGATAAAAAATTGAAAAATTCTAAAAGTACACAGATCATATCTTTCTCTTGAAATACTCTTCCAAATTAATTTCCAGTGCATGTTATTTTGTGGTTATTTAAATAATGTTTTTATATAATTCAAAGGTTAAGAGTCTATCCTAGAATTACTTTTAGGAGAGAAACAAAAAACAAATTATTCATATTCATTGCAATATTTTATACTCAGCTGAAAATATATAACTATATTTTTATGCATAAAATGTTCTGTTTTCTAAGGGCAGTTTTGAGACATAATGGTTAAATGCACAGACAATTTCTCTAAGTAAGTTTGAATGTATATTCTGTTTTTCTAACAAAAAATTTGTTAATAGGAAAACGTTCGTCTTCTTTATGTTAAATGATTACTGATAATTAAAAAAATCCCCAAGAACTCGTCCTTGTAGGTTATTTTGAAATAAAATTTATTGTACATGTACGTTATATTATATATCATACCACAAGTCAGATTTATTGTCCATTGACCATTTGAAGAACATCCAAGCATTCCTGATCCCTTTTTCTTGAAGATATATTTGTGACACTGTAGATGTATCTGTCGGTAGATTCCTATTGCGTCCCATCTTTCCAAACTATTCGAGTCAACGCCTTGTACAACCGGAGGCATTCCACAGTCTGTTTTTATTTAAATATAATCTAAATCTTAGTTGTGCAAATGATCTTTAATGATGCATCATTGATTACAATTTCATTGATTCCTTCACAGTGGAGTTTGAGAGAAAACAGTGACTCGCGCGTGTGTTCGGGAGGTTAAAAGAGAGAAAGTAAGGGAGGACGGGTGTGTGAGGGTGTGTGTGTGTGTGTGTTAGTTTTTTATGTGCAAAATGGAAGTGCCAAAATGACATCCTGATCCATGTCAAAGGTTGTCTAGGTCTATAGACAAAAGTATGCCCTTTGAAAGGGGATTCTCCCTTTTGCACTGTCCTTGTTCATGAATGGATTTTAGTGTACATGATATAAATGCATGCAGGGAACAGTGTCGTCCTAAAAATACTATTACCTCAGACGACTATTTCATTTTTGTAAAAAAAATCTTTAATAAGTGTTCTACAATCCAAATACCCGGATACATATGGACCAAATATTTTTGTCTGATTTTTACCTTGCTAATTGTCCCCAACCTGGCGCTGTATTTAGAACGTCTACTCTAGGGTCGTGAAATAAGGATTTGATCCTTACAATGGGAGTTCGAATCCCACTGTGGAACGCGAAAACTGGTCCATTTGATGATGCTGTATAAACTGAGGTCCCATATCACAGTAGGTGTTGACATGAAAAAGATCCCTCCCTGCTCAATGACCCTAGGTGCCGAGTATAGGACATCATTTGCAGCTATCGATAGGCAAGTTTTGGCGTTCCCATATACATAAACATTCTCGAGAGGGACGTTAAACAACATAAATTTATCTAGAGTCGCATTGTATGGTGTTGATTTTTATTCCGTGAGTTGGAATCCCACTGCTCAATAAGGAGACCGGCACTTAGGGATTCTATAAACTGGGATCCGCATAAAAGCATAAAAAGATGCATCTATTCTAAAAGGATGTCGCTGACCAATACAGGCGTCTTAATGTTAGTTGATATTCCCTAAGAAGGACTTGAAACAAACAAACTTACCTGAATATATACATTTATAATTTCCAAGGGATTTGGGGATGCATTTTTCATTTTCTTTGCACTTTGCCATCGAACAAGCTTCTGTCATTTTCTGTAAGACGTAAAGTATTTAATGAATACTGGATGCCTAAGCAAAATCATTATTATTTGCAGTTTTCAAAATAAAAAAATAATAAACAGCTAATTTTGTTTTATAAATCTTTACTGATATATTCCGTTTTGTTAATTCAAATGCTGAGTGAAAGCATCTTTAATATAAGACGTTTGAGATTGATTAATTTTAGTACTATTCACAATATGTTAAAAATAAAAAGATGTTGCATTATTCAAAGAACATATCTTTTCTTAAAATATAACATCAAATAATTTTTGTATGATTAATACTTATAAAATATATTTACCGGGTCCCAGTCTTCTCTTTTGCTAAAGATCCACCCCTTGTCTTCTTTGTATCTTTCTTGGGCAGTAGCTTCATTTTCATAACTGATTTCACAGTAATTTGCCCCTTGGTAATAACTTAAAGATTTACAGCGCGTGGTTCTTAAGCATTCTTCCACACAATCTAAAATGCTATACTCGGTAAAGGAATCAATCATTTTTCTATCTAGCCTGTAACTGTATCTTAGTTTGGAATATCCGTCTTGTAAATTTCCTGATATTATTAAGAAAGTATCCAAAAGAAAAACGAAATTCTGTATGCCTTTCATATTTTCCTTGTTGTTCCTGTTTTGTCTGACAAAAAAATAACCGTCTTGTTATGTATCTGCTGACACAAAAGCCAATAATTAGTAATAAACGAGAAATGAATATTTCATCATAATTGATATGATAACAGGGGTTCTCAATATCTGTCAATAAATACAGCATCTAATTTAGGATGTTGAATACACATATTGTCATTTCTTAAAGCAAGGCTATTGACTTACTTTTCTTGGAATTTTTTCTTGGAATTCGGGTTGACTCAATACTTAACTGTTTGCACACGCACAGTCGTTGTGTATTAGTCAACGTCTTACACGTAGCCGAAAGAATTTTTCCAACGCTGCACGATTATTTCAGTACTAGTATCTCCTGCTACTTCATACGCACACATGCATATGCAGTTGGTCACCGCTGCCAATATTCTCAAGTTTACTTTCCTGTCCACACAGAAAAAAAAATTTCTAAAAAAATCATCAAACCCTCAGGCCTAATGCACGCAACATTTTCTCTTGCAATCATAGAGGTCATACGACGTTTTAACCTGGGGAGGACACAATTGTGCCCTGCTTAGAACTCATACGTTAACAAATTGTAGGCCTATCAAGTGATTTTCAAGTTGCGCATGTGGTCAAAACACTTAATAGATAAATAACTTTATAAAAACTTCTACATACCTTCATCAGAAAGTCTGATTATTCATAATTGAATTGTATGATGTTGAATATTTTAAGATGAACGAAAAAATCTATCACTTTTTAATGCAAGCTGTGACAAGCTATCTCGAATTAAATCTGTTTTGTGAATGTCAAAATTATTCAAATTCTTTTTCACTAACAAATTGTGGTTCATGGTGACATGAAATATCAAGCCATTCACCCATGAGGGAAAGCGATAACATGAAACAATTCTATCGGTTACGGCCATTTTCTTCTACGGATCTAAAGTTTCTGAAAGCTTCATTATCATGATTTTTACTGCTTTAACAACAAGTGAAAAATACTTATATTTGCATTCCAGAGGAAATCCTGACTTACATGATTTTGTCACTGGCTCTAAAATCAATCATGATATTTAACAAATCACAAACAATTATTAAGTATTTCCCTCTCAAACACAATTATCTTGATACAAGCAGCGCAGTCAACACATTCTCTTAATTTTTGTTTTGATGCAGTTGTGACGTCATCGATCAACGTTATTGAAACCCTCTGACAAAAATCAATGATTTAACAAATGAAAAATGATAATGCCTTTATAACTGCTAAAGATTTTTGTTTGTTTTTTTTTTATATAATAAAGTTAAATTTTGGCACACTTATAAATAAACAGCTTCTTTAAAAAATATTTTACAATGAAATTTTATAAATTCCGTGTGAAATTTGAATTGGCTAATTAAATTTCTTATTATTTTCAAACAATTAATAATTTTTCTACACTTTCCCCAAAGTAAGATTTTAACAAGCCATGTCTTATCCAGTTCTTTTCTCATTCATAGATTAGTTCTGCTAAATATGCAACAGACCTTTCTTAATTATAATGCATAAAAATACTGCAAGTAAAACCTTACCACCTAAGAGTAAAAAAATATTTATTTTTAACAAGGTTTCATAGGGTCAATAATTCAGACGATTTGTAAACCTATTAATTACTCTTAATTAGTACCAGGATTTACACGTATGACGTCTGATCAATATGCAATGATTTTTAGCTAATTAAAAAGATTATATTTTTGCAGAAAAATCAAAATCGTTATTTATTAAGGGAAAAATTATTGATCGGATAGTTTTTATATCATCTTTGTTATGTCATTTAAATTTTGAAACATGATAAAAATTCTTTTAAAAGTTACCAATTACTATTTTGTGTTTATGAATAACTCACATAATCATCAAATTACAATTCTGGTTTCATAATATTCTTTTTTTCAACGTTCATAAAATTGTAAATAAATCTGAGAAGTACTAAAACAGAATACATAGAATTTGTGCCCTATTATGGTATAAAAATTTGAAAGATAAAAATGTTATTTTTCAACGTACTATTGACTATGAGATTCTACTTAAATTTTACCGAACCATTTGATTGATTTATCTTATTCTAAGCAAATAAACTGAATATGGAATAGAACTGTATTATAGAATTATGAGTTATTTACTATGAAGCATACGTTAATTAATCTGAAATAGGTTGCATATTTTTTGCAATAATTTCTCACTCATTTCAGCAAGTTTACAAAATGGCTATTCAAAGGTAAAATATGGCCACAGGTTGGATAGGAAAATGATTAACTCCTTCACTGGGTATAGTATACTCGACTGTGTAGAAAAATATCTAAGAACAACGAGATATACAAATATGCGTTATTATAAATTTATAGCTAATAACTGTTAAATGAACTATAAGAATATAAGAACAGCTCCTGAAAGATATCATGCAGGATCTATAGCAAGAGAGAAGGAAGACTGGAACACGGTGAGAGAAGGCGTGGATCTATAGGGATAGAGAGGACTGGGACAAGGTAAAACAAGGGGCGGATCTAAAAGACGAGGAAAGACTGAGACAAAATAAGACAGGGGTCGATCTATAGGTAGAGGGAAGACTGTAACAAGGTTAGAAAAGGGGTGGATCTATAAAGAGAAGGAAGACTGGGACAAGGTCAGACAAGTAGTGGAACTATAGGGGGAGAGAAGACAGGGAAAATGTATGAAAAGGGGTGGATATAAAGGGAGAGGGAGGACTGGGACAAGATAAGACATAAAGTTGATCTATAGGGAGAGGGAGGACTGAGACAAGGTAAGACAAGGAGTGGATCTATAGGGAGAGGGAAGACTGGGACAAGGTAAGGCAAGGGGTGGATCTATAGGGAGAGAGAAGACTGGGACAGGGTAAGACAAGGGGTGGATCTATAGGGAGAGAGAATAAGGGACAGGGTAAGACAAGGATGATTAATCTATAGGGAGAGAGAAGACGAGATATGGGACAGGGTAAGACAAGGGGTGGATCTATAGGGAGAGAGAAGACTGGGACAGGGTAAGACAAGGAGTGGATCTATAGGGAGAGAGAAGACTGGGACAAGGTAAGGCAAGGGGTGGATTTATAGGGAGAGAAGACTGGGACAAGGTAAGACAAGGAGTGGATCTGTAGGGAGAGGGAAGACTGGGACAAGGTAAGACAAGGAGTAGATCTATAGGGAGAGGGAAGACTGGGACAAGATAAAACAAGAAGTTGATCTACAGGGAGAGGGACGACTGAGACAAGGTAAAACAAGAGGTGGATCTATAGGGAGAGGGAAAGCTGTGACATAGTATGACAAGGGGTGGATCTACAGCGAGAGAGAGAGAAGACAAGGAGTGGATCTATAGGGAGAGGGAAGACTGAGACAAGGTCAGACAGGGAATGGATCTATAGGTAGAGAGAAGACTGTAACAAGGTAAGACAAGGGATGGATCTGTAGGGAGAAGGAGGACTGGGACAAGGTTAAACACGTAGTGGAACTATAGGGACAGAGAAGACTGGGACAATGTATGAGAAAGGGTGGATCTATAGGGAGAGGGAAGACTGAGACAAGTTAAGACAAGGAGTAGATCTATAGGGAGCGGGAAGACTGACACAAGTTAAGACAAGGAGTAGATCTATAGGAAGAGTGAAGACTGAGAAAAGGTAAGACAATGGTTAGATCTATAGGGAGAGGGAAGACTGAGACAAGGTAAGACAAGGAGTGGATCTATAGGGAGAGGGAAGACTGAGACAAGGTAAGACAAGGAGTGGATCTATAGGGAGAGGGAAGACTGGAACAAGATAAGACAATGGGTGGATCTATAGGGAGAGGGAAGACTGAGACAAGTTAAGACAAGAGGTGGATCTATAGGAAGAGTGAAGATTGAGACAAGGTAAGACAAGGGGTAGATCTATAGGGAGAGGGAAGAATAAGACAAGGTAAGACAAGGAGTGGATCTATAGGGAGAGGGAAGACGGGGGCAAGATAAGACAAGAAGTTGATCTATAGGGAGAAGGAAGACTGGAACAAGATAAGACAATGGGTGGATCTATAGGGAGAGGGAAGACTGAGACAAGTTAAGACAAGGGGTGGATCTATAGGAAGAGTGAAGATTGAGACAAGGTAAGACAAGGGGTAGATCTATAGGGAGAGGGAAGGATAAGACAAGGTAAGACAAGGAGTGGATCTATAGGGAGAGGGAAGACGGGGGCAAGATAAGACAAGAAGTTGATCTATAGGGAGAGGGACGACTGAGAAAATGTAAGACAAAGGGTGGATCTATAGGGAGAGGGAAGACTAGGACAATGTATGAGAAGGGGTGGATCTACAGAGAGAGAGAGAAAACAAGGGGTGGATCTATAGTGAGAGGGAGGACTGGGACAAAATAAGACAAAAAGTTGATCTATAGGGAGAGGGAGGACTGGGACAAGGTAAGACAAGGGGTGGATCTATAGGGAAAGGGAAGACTGAGACAAGGTAAGACAAGGGGTGGATCTATAGGGAGAGGGAAGACTGACATAAAGAATTTTTCCTGTATCTTACTTAATAGATGTACCAAAGTTTGCCCAAAACTGTAGTAACCTTCAAGGCAATATTATTCAGAAATTAATAAATATAAGAATTGTTGTAGCCTGTTGTATGAAATGTTTATTTAAATATGACTAAATCTTATGAATGGGTGATATTTTTTATGTTTATATACAAAGGAATATTTGGACAAGTGTCCAAACGTTTTGTAAACGTTTTATTTGTCTAGATTTTGCATTTTTCACCCAGTTTTGTTTACTTCTCCACGTGCCCCCGTGCTAAAAATAGCACCAAGCGACGTTTCATAACAACGGTTAGTAACTCTAAACTAAGACCGCGATTGAGACATAGGCCTTATGCACATTTTAT